TCGAGCGCGTGCTTCTTTCACCCGAAGAGGCGGGGTGGGGGGCGAAGAGGGTTTGCCCAGCACAGCCTGGTTCTCTGGGGGTTTCTCGACTCGGGGAGGGGAGCGGGGACGGGGAGCAAAGCGCCGCTGCACGATGCCCCAGCGCGGGGGCACGAAGGGCCGAAACCACCCGCCCCGGAGCAGCTTCCCCCGGGAGCAGCCCTGGTCTCAGGCAGGGGGACCCCGGCGCCGCCTCGAACCCCAGGCTGCGGGAACGGGGAGCAACGAATTTCGGGGGACACCATTCTTCAGCGGGTGGGGGGACCCTGAACGCTGGAAATGCACCCTGAAATCCAGACCTCCGGGGCACGAATTTCAGGAGAAAACGTGGGGTTTTTTTAAAGATTCAGTTAAAAAATAGATGCATTTCTTTTTCTTAAAAAACAAAAAAAGTTTTAGGCCAGGGTGTCTTCTAGTGACCCCTTCCCCACCACCCCAAATTTAGCCAGAAAACTGCTAGCCATTTAACCAGATCTGCTGGCCACATAGACGTTCACACATTCATCATTGATTTAAAAATATATAATATATATAGCGCACACATACACACACACAAATATATATTAGAAAAGAGGAAAAAAAAAAATCCCTCTGAAAACTCCAATCTGTTATAAAACCCAACAAAACCCACGGCCGGTGCGTTTATCCCGTGATCGCGTACAGTAGAAGACAGAAATCCCTTTCGCTCCCGTGGCTCCTCGCAGGGCGCTCGGGCTGGGAGAGCGCGGAAACACATCGGGTTTTCACAGTGGATTTGTTAGCGGAGAAGGAACTGCTCCTCCCTCCTCCCACGCAGAAGGGCTTTAATTTATAGCAAGTTAGATTAAAACTAGGAAACACGTTACAAAGTCCATTATATATAGACATAAAATGTACAACTGTCGGCAGCCCCCCTGCGAGCCGCTGGGGGTTTCACCACGGCTGACCTGACACCTCGGCGAGCAGCTGGAGGGTTCGAAGGCAGTTTGGGAGGCGAGGGGGTGCGAGTGCGGCCTCCGAAATCCACGGGTGTCACAGTGCGAGGTCTTACGTTGAGCCCCAGCGTGGAAGGGAGACGGAGCAACGCCTTCTCCAGGAGCCGGGGACGGCGGAGGCAGGGGCTGCCGAAGGCGCTGGACACCCGGAGAGGGGACGCGTCCTCCCAGCCCTCTCCATCCCTTGTGCCCGCGCGGGGAAGGGAGCACTGTGCGCTGGATGAAGGCCCGTGGGCAGGCGTGGGGAGAGCGTGGGTCGCAGCTTGCATCAGGGTGGGCTCATTAAAAAATGCCTTTTTTTTTTCCTCCCCAAAGGAGCGGCTTATCGATTGAGGGAGCAGGACACCCGGTCTGGTGCTGCCTCGAGGGTCATTAAGATGTCGAGCCGGGCATTAAAACAGCCTCTGGTGTGAACAGCAGCGTGCCCGGGGAGCCCCACAGCCCCCTAAAAATCTCCGAAAGGGCAGAGAGCTGGGCACAAAGGGAAGGCAAGCGAGACCAGAGTCCAGGCGAGGGCCTTTGGGCAGGCAGGGGAGCAGAGTGGGGCAAGTGCAGCAGCATTTTTTCTCATTTTTTCTCTCTGCCTTCCCCAGGCAGCAAGGAAACACAACCCCCCTGTGCTGTGCACCAGGCTGCTGGGGAGGGGAGATGCCCTCTGGCACCCTCTGCGCGGGCCCCGCTCAGGTGCCACGGGCACAGTCCTCTCCCCGGGAGGGATCCGGTGGTGGCAGCAGGGAACTCCTGAGCCTTCGGTCTCCATGGCTTACTTGGAGAGGTGTTGGCTCCAAAAGGCTCATCCCAGGGGATTTCATTTACAGAGCAAAAAGGAAAGAGATTGCAGGGCTGGATGGGGCAGAGACGCCCACGGGGCGGGGGGAAGTGCGATTTGTGCAAACCACCATTAACTCGAGTCCTCGTTCGCTCCTCTGTGGGGAAGGCAGGATGGAGGGGACTGCACGAAGCCATAGGTTGGAGTTAGGAGTCTTCCCCGAGGATCTCTGTCACGAAGGAGGCCATGTCAGTCTCTTTGGTGTCGTGCAAGGTAAAGAAAGGGTGTTCCTGCCAACAAGACCAAAGACAACATCAGCTGACACCCAAGGACAGACAAGCCCAAGAGCAGTCCTTGGGGGACATCAGGCAGCTGGGGAGGTGCTGGGGGAGAGGTGGACACCAGCCTCCTCCCCAGGCTCCCACGGACGCCAGCCTTTAGCTTAAAAATGAACTAACGCTTTCAGGACTGGCGTTCCTAGGTTCAACCCCAGCTCGGCAGCTGAATGGCCACCATTTGAGGTCTAAACTCACCAAGGGCAGACAGGACAGAAGGAGAAAACACCTAGAAATCCTGACCTCAACATCCACAAAATCAACACACCCTTCCACCTCAGACACACTACGACCATCCTGCTCCGCACCTGAAAAATCACCCACTTATCCTGGTGTCCCATTTTCCCAGGACCTGCAGGACCTGCTGGACCATTCATTTGGCTTTCGAAACGCGTTGCGATAAAGACCAGCAGAAATGGCTTCGCACTTACCATAAGTTCTAAATAGTTCATTCGCTCAGCGGGGTTCTTTCTTAAGCTGGAAGACAAAAAAATGGGAGAGAAAGGCTGTAGGATCTCTTTTTTTTTTCTTTTCTCCTGTGTGGTCTATCACAAGGGATCTCCCCTTCCCAATCAGCATGACGTCTTTCTCACAGGCAGCACCCATTCCTCTCCCTCCTTGGCCAAGCAGGTTTGAACCACCAGCGAAGCGGCCAGGCAGGTAACTGGGAAAGGCCAACTCATGGGTGTTTGGCCACAAAAAGCACAAGCTGAGCTGCTCGCTGCAGCCTGCCCCGCACAGCCTCGCTTGTCCGCACAGACCAGAACAAACAGGGAGGAGATGGTTTCCCACCATCCGGGGTGGGCAGACCATCTCAAGGCTCTTTCGAGCCTTGCCTCAGTGGGCTCAGCCCTGCCTGGCAGCTCCAAGCAGCACACAAGGAGCAGCCACTGTACGTAGTGCCCACAAAACCACAAATCAGCTTTCACCCAGAGGCACCCACACGCTGCCAGGGGTTCGTTCTCGTTTCATTGCCGCTTTGCCAGAAACCACCAGAATTTCAGCAGCAACGATGGCAAAAGGGGAAGAGAAACCTCTGTGCCTTCCAACCAGCCTGGGTGAGTCAGGCTGAGAGCAAAATGAGTTTGGGCAGCGCTTCCTGCCATGGCCGAGCACCAGCCACGGCGAGGTGGGGAGAAATGAGCTTCAAAGGGACAACAAACCCAGCCCCACGCTTTTCTCCAACCCCCACGGATCAGGGGTCCTCTTCAGCCAGGCTGGGAGAAGTCACCGGTCCCTGCTGGAGACTCACCACTGCGCCGTGAAGTCCACGAACTCCTTGGAGAAGCGATCAGCGGGCAACTGGGGCGAAGGCTCCTCCACCACTTGCTTGAGCTGCTGGAACGGGGTCCCCCAGGACTCATACGGGAAGCGAAGAATGGCCAGTTCGATCTGAGGACAGACACAGGCTGACATGAGACACCAGGACGAGCGCAGCCCCACGCAGCCTGCCCACCTCGGCCTCTGCAGCCAGTGCAGATTCAAACTGAAAAACCTTTTTCCTTACAAACCATTTTCAATTTGGGTCACACCAGGTTTTTTTAAAGACAAAGACCCAGAGGCCAAAAATACTTTCTTTTGAGGCTGGCTCAGCATATTAATGCATTTACATGAAGCCGCCAAAGATATGTAAAATAGGATTATTTAAAAAGAGAAGAATAACAGCACACCGTTTCTGCATCAGCTTCCTAAGTGCTTTGCCCTCCAGCAGCCAGCCTCTGGGCTTCAGACTAGTACTGTATCAGCTCGACACACGCAAAAAAAATCCACAAACCCAAGAAAAAAACTAAGTGCGAGAACATCGCTCAGGAAGATCTTTGCCAAACCACCCCCATTACCAGGTCCTTCCTACAAGCCACCTCTGCTCTGTCACTCATTCAAGCAGGAAAAGGCCTGTCATAGCTCTTGGGCAATGGCCTCATGCCAAGGGTCAGTTCCTGTCTCAAGGCAGGCAGCAGAACCTCCAGACCTGCCTGGCAGGGTGGGATGGGACAGGATGGGAGGAATAAGAAACCTGAAGGGACGCAGGGCAGAGCCAGGGACCGCCGTCTGCCTCTGGAGCAGGTCTGGGGGGCTCAGCTCCTGCTGCTGGAAAACTGAATGAAGCCAGCAGCCCAGAAAGGCCTGGATTACCTCTGTAACTCAATGGCCCTCAAACCAGCTGGTGTGAAATCAGTCAAACCCCTTCAGAAATAAAAAAATGCAGGAAGCCAGCCCAGGAGGAAGACATTAGAGGGAGTCAGAGGAGTCGGGGGCTCCGTTCAGCTGCAGGCTGGCAGGCTTTCAGCCAGGTCCCCTCTCCCATCCAGCTTTGGAAAGGTTGAGAGATTTCGTCATTCACGCAATCTCCCATCCCACAGCTTCCTACACCTCGGGAGGAAACCCGGAGCTGATTACATTTCCAGTCAGCCCAGCTCTGCTCTGCGCTGGCATGGGGACCCCAAGGAGAGGGGCTTGGGTTTGGCTCTGCGGACAAAACTAGCTGGGGAAGAGGGACTGTTTGCCAAGAGGTCTGTGCAGCACACACCAGCGCAGGGATGCAGCGCCCAAAACAAGTCACAGCTAACAAGAAGCAGGAAAAATTCCTGAATATAATCTACCCACAGAGAGACAGTCTCCTGGAAAGCAAGAGCCGTGTTCCCAGGCGGCATCCCCTTCGAGCCAACAGCTGGGATTTCCTTTGTCCTCTGGCGCCAGAAGATTTCAGCTGCTTTCTGCAAGATCCGTTTCTTGCAGGAGGTAGATAAACCATCCTGAGCAGCTGTGATTTTGGAACTGAAAGTATTTCCCCTTCCTGTCGGCTGCTCTGAGCTACCCTGCAGGCAGGACTTGCTGCAAACCATGCACAGCAGCCCTCACTGCAGCGAGGCTGGCTAACTCACCCCGATCCTCCTGTGAGACTTTGCTGCCATGGAAGAGGGGTGCATGCAGGAGAGCTGCAACCCAGCTGCAGCAAACCCAGCTCCACTGACTGCCTCTCCAGCCAGCGCATGGGGAATCGCAGAGCAATTAAAAGCCAGAATCTTAGATGTCCAACTAAGCCCACTGTCACCCAGATATTGCCCCCTGGGACTCTGCCATCCACACCAACATAGTTCAGAGCTAAGTGGAGCTATTTGGAGCTGGCATTGTACCCGAGTAGCTCTGTGAAACCAAGCGGAGGGGTACAAGGGAACCACATGGGGATAACAGGCCTTTACGTATCCCCTCAGGATCCAGCAGGAACATACAAGAAGCGAGAGGAGGAAAGAGAAGGGGCAGAAAATGAAGCCACAGCAGTGGTGGCAATGGTGGCTGCATGCCCCAGCTCATAGCTACCTTGCCCCGGTGCGAGGTACCCCTGTGCGTACAGGGCAGCACCTCCACCCTGTGCAATCAATCCCACGCCCTGAGCTATCACGCTCAGAATTTAGTCCCGTTTGGTGGGCACCCACCCAGGGGCAAAGCCACCAGACAGCACCACGCACAGCAGGGTTAGAGCCCCACCAGCACAGACCCCACCCCAACCCAGGGCTGCAGGGTTCTGGTCCAAGCCCTTGGTGTTACCATTGTGATCCCCAGACTCCAGACGTCCGACTTCACGTTGTAGCCCTTCTGGTTCAGCTCAGGGTTTATTCTTTCCGGCTGTAAGAGCAAAATGGAAGATATTATAACTATCTCATTTTCCCAGCACAAACCCCACAGAGCAAACCTCTGGCTCAAAACCCAGGCTGGGTGGATTCCCCTGGCTCACAGCCCCATGGAGGCAGGGTCTGAGGTTAAATCTAGCACCAACTGCTCCACACAACCCACACACTCTCCCCTCCAGCTCCCGAGTGAGACTTGTACTATCCCTGCAGCATGATCCCAGCCCCAGGAGCACAAGCTACCCACGTAGATGCCACAGATGGAAAAGGGAAATTCATACTGACTTCAGAGGGTGAAATGATTCTGCCAAGAAAAGCCTCAGCATTTTCTAGCCAGCAAGGAGCAGCCCTTCCAACCACCACAACCAGCACCACACAGTCTTTTACCCTTCTGCAAACGGAAGGTGGCAGAGGAAGAGTCTGCTGTGGGATTAACACACACAGTAGGGCTTACAGGGAGGGTAATCCCGTCCCTGGGGACTCTGCTGAGTCAGGAAGCCCAGAGCACTCTGAAGTGGTTTGTCTCAGGACAGAGGCAAACCGAGACCGATTTCTGCGCAGCAGCCTCTTCAAATAAAGGCTGAAGGCAGCTGAAGGCTGCCGTCTCTGGCCCCACACGAGCACACTTACAGCCATGTATGGTTTGCAGCCGGCATCCATGGTCTTCGCAACTGAGTCCACCAAGTAGCCACTGATACCAAAATCGCACATTTTCACGTGTCCCTCCTTGTTGATCAGCACATTCGAAGGTTTCACGTCTAAGACAGGGAACATAAGAGGGCAGACTGGGCCTTTGCAGAGGTATCGCAGAGCCTGAGACAACACGGGAAACTCCCCACCAACCTGGGAGGGGAGCAGGTAGGCCCTAACACAAGGGAAGGGAGACAAAACCCTACCGGTCTTATTTCAATAAAAGAAGTTCACAACTTAAACCATAACCATGCCCCTCCAGGCAGAACAGGCCTTCTCCCTAATGAGGCAGGTCAAAAGGTTGAAGTAGAATGTTGAGGAGTTAATGCCCAGCTCCTTAGGAGAGATTTATGCACCCAACACAGCCTTAGCAGTTCAACTCTACCAAGTTCTCGGACAGCTTATCTCATGCCCATCATGATCTGTCCACAACTACACAAGGAACTATACCAGGAAGAAGAACAGGATCCAAGCGTTACAATTCCCATCTGTGATTTGCAAGATCTCCTTTGGCCCTCACCTTGCTAGAACCTTGCCAGGGAGGGTAGGGGCTTTCGTCCCCAAGAGCTGCCTTCAATGCATCTCTGTACTCCAAGACAGCTTAAGATGCCCATAAAAACACAGGCAGCGAGGAATTCAGTTATATTCACCCCTTCATCTGGAAAGCAGGATGAGAACAACATCATGCAAGCAGATGTATGAAGGATACATCTCAGGAATACGGCATCTGGATCTGTCCACCATGGTCCCAAGTACCATCACACCCACTATAAGCATCCCAGAGGCACACTCCACACATCTCCTGGGAAGGAGTCCTCACATAACTTATTTTAAGGCTAGATCTCCAGTCACACCACGCTAACCCCATCCAGCACCTACCTCTATGGATTACGGACAGTTTACTGTGCAGATGCTCCAGGGCTCGTACAATCTGGGAACAAACACAGCAGAAAAGGATCCTTTAATCATACACAGCACCAGCCTTCCACTGCAAACACACCACCCATTTCCACAAGCAGTGGGCTTAAACAGAGACCTCAGGCTCAGAGGATGCACAAAACCACATAAGAACCCAAGAGGCACTCACCGACACAGCCATTTTCCCCAAAATGTCTTCAGGGATAGTTTTCTTCTTCTCCAGCACTTTCTTGTAGAATTTATCTAGGGAGGTGTCCATGAGCTCCATGCAGATCCACACATCGCCCTGCAGACAGTGAAAAAGCTGTTGAGAGGGAATTCCCTGGAAATCCCTGGGAGCTGAAGGGAGAGGTAAGTACGGATGGACAAACAGACACTGCCCCTTCCACATGGGGCAAGCCAAGGTCCCTGCCATGCAGCCGCTGGTGGCCACACTACCAGCACATGCACTCCGCGCTGGACAGTGATGGGCACAGACCTCCAGGTACCACCAAAACTGCCTGCAATGGCTCCCTTTGAGGGTCTATCCCAAAGCCAGCCCAGGCCATGGACAACGTGCTTGGGCACCTGCCATGGAAGTGAGGAATGGGACCTGCTCAACGCTGCCTGATGGAGGCAAGCCTTTGCTTTTAAGTCATTGCAGCATCTCAAATCGCTCAGCTGGGCTGAAGAAAGCAGAGGTGGTTTGGGACAGGTTAGTGCCTTAAGTGCAATCACAGGGGCCCCAGGTGCTGCACAGCCCACCAGCTATGCACCGGCTCAGTACCTCACGGAAGAGAGCTCCGTAGAAGGTGACGGTGTAGAAGCAGTCAACTGTCCTCATGGAGATGTCCAAGTCCATCAATAACCTCTTCTGCTCCTGAGTGTTCACAGTCGCTCGAATCCTCTGAGACAAACATCAAAGAAGAGGGGTTTGACATAGGTGGGATAACACCATTATCCCTTGGGCTATCCCAAGGGTCTGCTGACTTGTGGTTCTGAGGCCAGGGCAAGTGTTTTAGGTTTATTTTGCAGCCAGTAGCACCCCAGGACGTGCCCAGATTCCCTCTTGCAGAGAGCACCTCAATGAAGGTGCATCTTTCCTACGAGGAAAGGCTGAGGGAGCTGGGCTTGTCAGCCTGGAGAAGAGAAGGCTGAGAGGGGACCTTAGAAATGCCTACAAATGTCTGCAGGGTGGGTGTCAGGAGGACAGGGCCAGACTCTTTTCCGTGGTGCCCAGCGACAGGACAAGGGGCACAGACTGAAGCATGGGAAGTTCCAGCTGAACATGAGGAAGAACTTCTTCACTCTGAGGGTGACGGAGCCCTGGCCCAGGCTGCCCAGGGAGGTTGTGGATTCTCCTTCTCTGGAGATATTCAAACCCTGCCTGGATGAGGTTCTGTGCAGCCTGCTCTGGGTGACCCTGCTTCAGCAGGGGGTTGGACTAGATGATCCCCAGAGGTACCTTCCCACCACTGCCATTCTGTGATTCTGTGAATGACAAACCCTTTGCAAGCTCTTCAGCGGATGCAGAGTCAGGCCAGCAGCCTGGACAGGCATTCAGAGATCCAAACCTTGCACCATCTGACTGCAGACACCAAGCCTGGATTTCCAAGCCTGCTGATCAGCCCCATAGTGCCCAGCCGGTATCAGCGCAGACCCTTCAATGGCCAGACCACACTGGAATGCCAGAGGCTGGCAAGCCTGTCCCCATTTTTTCCACGACTGGTGGAGCTCAGCAGAGTCTCTCCACTCCCTCAGAGCTGCACATCCCAACCTCCATCACCCTCAGCAAGCAGCTCTGCTCACCTTCACGGCCATGATGGTGCCACTCTGTGCATGCCGGACTTTCTCCACCACGCCGTAGGCCCCACGGCCCAGCTCCGAAATTGCCACCAAGTCATCAGCTTCCACCTCGAAGTTCTTTAGGGAGAGAGACACACAAAAGAAAAAAAAAATCAAAACATGAGCACACTTATCACCACGGACATCAGCAGAGATCCAACACTTGCAGCAGAGCATTTCCAAACAATGGTACCTACAGGACCCCACCAGCTCCTGTACATACTGGAGGCACCATGCTTGGAGAAGGTGGGTGTATTTTTTTTTTCTCTGTTGACCCAGAGCCCAAACCCTCTTACCCTGTACTCACCAGGGGTCATTTAATCCCCTCTCTGCAGCTAGAGATCAGGACTTTCATCCTTTAAGCCAGGGCACGCTGCCACTGGAAAGGGCACCAAAGGTTGGTGCCTCTCCGCCTGCTCGGGATTACCCACACAAGGGTATTTCTGCGGTTGCAGAACAACTTGCAGGATGTTAACAGCTCCCGTGCCAACACGGGCAGCGGTCGGGAGCCTCTGCCACAGCTCCAAATCCCCGTGTGCAGCCGGGGATCCCCACCTCGCCCCGCATCCTGAGCGATCGCTGGTCACAAACACAGCTACGTGTCTAATAACACCTCTGCCTGTGCAAAGCCTCTCTTAGATGGGAGCGCATGCAGCAACTCAATTCCTAATTACTGAGGAGTTCAAATGAGTTTTACCTGCTTTCAGTACTCCCTCCCACTATCAGAAAGCAGCCAACAAGGTAACACGTGAGTTAGCACTGAGGAAGGAGCTCAGGTGAGTGACACTACCTAAGTCTCACTTCAAGCAGGGGAAAAAACCCATCGCCAGCGTTCAGCCAAGCGAGTGCCCCACGCAGCAGGGAGCCAGCCAGCTCCTGTGCCACCCACAAACAAGTTTCCCTAAAGACGTGTTACCCTATAATTGCCTGCTCTGCTGGGCAGGGCACAAACTGTTTGAGTGAGACATGGGCTATTTTTGGACTCTGCGTTCATCGCTCCTAATAAGTCACAGGCCTTCTTTTAGCCAGGCTTCATCCAGCCTCCGTTTTTCCTCCGGTCTCAGGGAACAAAAATAATACCAGGATGCCAAATTGCCCCAGTAGCCACAAAGGCAGCGAGGGTGGGAAACATGCACGGCACAGCGCCGGATGCCGTGCCTGCGAGCTACACCCAGAGCAGAGAGGAAACAGCCTTTGGCGTTACGGAGCCGAGCTGGAAGATGTGGCTGAGGACCTTCCTGCCGGCCCCGGCTCCGTTTATTTGAGCCAGATGTGCATGGCAGGCGGCCGAGGCAGGGAGCAAGGGAGGGCTGTGCTTGAGCTCAGCACTGAGCTATGCACTGCCCAGCGCAGGAAGGTGCCGGCCCTTTCCTGGGCAGGACGGTGGATCCAGAAATGAGGAGAGCAGGGCGGAGGGGGACATGTCCAAGCCCCCACCCTGCCGCCTGGGGCAGCTGGCAGAGGAGCAGGGCAGGCTCGCAGCTCCTGCAGGAAGGATCTGGTGGTGCTTTTCAGGACACGTGTTCTGCAGTTGTTCCTGCTTTTTTTTTTTTTCTTCTTTCTCCTGGCATTTACTCTAAGGCTTCCCCAGAAGCTGGCAGTTCCCAGCACACTCCAGGAACCAGCATCGCCCTGCCCAGCAACAAGAGACGATGCACTGACAGAGCCAGCGCTCCCCTCCCCTGGTAACGGGACGCACGGCATCACCTGCACAGATCTGACAGACCCGAGGTCATTGTCCACCTCCACGGCCTAAAGCTGGCCTTCCGCCCAAGCCCTCTTCCTCCACCATGTCACCCCAAAACACCCGCACCAGACCCCTCCTGCAAACACTGGAGCAGGCAGAGTAGGGAAGGAGGCAAGTCTAGAGAGCATTCCCCAAGCTACAGCACTCTCCTCTCGCACACATCATGCCCAGGCTGTTAGAGAGAGCATCCCTCCCTGAGCTATTCATACCCAGTATTGTTCCCTGGACCCAGCCAAGGCTTCCTCTCCTCTCCCCTAACCCTAAAACCTTGCACCGAGGCCGAGGGGCCCAGATACCATCAGCCAAGCCACCTCCCAGCCTGGAAGGTAAGCAGCTAGATATAGGGCTGATCCAATGCGTGGTATTTTTAGCTCACTTGCAAAGAGCCTTCTGCAGCCCCAGGAGAGCCCGTAACAAGAGAATGAAATAAAAGAGAGCGAGCGGCTATTTCTAGCAGTGTTTTTCATCAGGTCACTAGGAAAGGCTTTGGAGAGCTGGAGAGAAGCTTTGTGCCCAGCTTCTCCTGAGCCACCAGCAGTAACACAGCCCTGTGGGTGCACAGGACAAAGGGGAGTTTGTCTGGGGCAGCCGGAGAGCACGATGAGGCCACGCTGATTTCGGGCAGATGGGCTGGGTGCGTGCACTCAGACCGAAGTGGCCGGTGGGGCTGTCAAGGGACTGCTGTGATCTCCCAAAACTGCACACCCAGCCTCTGGCACCCACCTGCCTTGCAGGGGCTGCCCGCAGGCAGGAGAGACCAGCCAGCGAGCCCACGGGCTCAGAGACGAGCCGTCTTAAAGGCAGGGTGACGTGTTCAGCTCCCCAACAGTCACTGCTCTAAATACACAGACATCCCACTGCTCCACAGGGGAAAGGTCCTGCTGTGGGATGTCTCATCCCTGCAAAGATGCATCCCGTGAGGCTGCACCAGGAGGCCACCATCCTTGTCACGGGGTGCTCCAAATCTCAAGATTTGATTTGACAAGTTGTCAGGCACGATCCATAAAACTCCCCACACAAGGGGCAAACACAATTAGAAGCAAGTAAAAAATAAACCACATTGTCACGTACTTTATCTCCGATGGTAATGAACGCTCTGGAGTCCAAGTTCCTCGGGGGCCTGCAAGAAAAGAGTAAGAGAATCAGGAGAAAGCTCAGCTTCGTTACCCCTCTTGGCCGGAGCCAGGTTTCACATTCCTTTCAGTACTTTCAGTCACTGCTTTCCACTGTCCCCTGTTGTCGTGGGTTCAAACCAGCCCCCTCCAAACACTCACAAATGCTTTAATCGTGCCAGTAACACCTCAGCACACACCCACAAGGCATTTGCTGCACGTATGCAGCGAGGACCCCAGAGACTCAGCTAGGCGAGACATGCACCGAACCACGAGGTCTGAAACCACCCCTGCGCAGGAGCCTGAGGAACCGAGACCGCCGGGACCTGACGTTTCTGTGGCAGAGCAGCTCAGTTGTCGTGTTTTGACAGGCAGGTGTTGTAACAGGACAGCCACGTCGCCCGAAACGCACGCCGAGGGAACAACAGGTAATTCCTCACCCGTGAGTCATTTGTGTACGCTCACGAGCCTGTTTCAGGCAGCGTGGCAGGCAGAGCTTCAGTGTCACACTTTGCACAACACCACGCAGGCAAGAGGCTTCCTTTATGGCTTTTTCCCCTCCTCGTTGCTGCCCACTTCTCGTTACGGGCAGCACGGTACTTTTAGAGCTGATGCGAGCGTTTTGGCCTTCCCACCTCGCTTCTCCGCTCTCCGCGTTCCCTGGGACCTTCTAAGAGCGGACATTGCCCAACTGGTTCAGCCTCCCAATTCCCATCAGAGCAACACGGCAACCTCCGGTTTCAAGGAAGTACTTCAAGGCTCATGGCAAAAGCCTTGTGCTCTGCAAATATTTGCACTGCAGCTTGCAAAGCACAGAGAAAAGGAGTTGTGGACAGCTTGCACCAGCCTCTACACAAGTGCTCTGGGCATGCAAGCGCCCCACAAATTCCAGCGTGACGCCTTCTCCAGGGGAAATTCAAACACTGATAGGAGCAGAGACAGATGCAGCCGTGGGGGAAGGAGGTGGCTGCTGCATGCAGGGCTCAGCGTCTGCGTGCCAGGCTGCACAGCACTAATGGGGGAGTTCCCCTGGCCCCCTCTCCGGCGGATCTGTCCTATCTACCTGGGGTTTTCAGTAGTGGTATTTCTCCTTCAGGGATTTCACTGCTCTCCTGGAGCTGGGAGGGTCTCTAGAAGGGCTTTATGCAACGGTGGAGATGCAGCCTAAGGTGTTTCAGAACAGCACCATGGAAGCTGAATTTAAGCCATCTGCTCTTTGTCAAATCAAGTGCTGCTACCCTCGGCTCTCCTGCATGGCATAACAAGCATCAGCTGCATGCAACAAACAGCAGAGAGATATTCCAGTGCCCTGAGATACCGCTGGGCACTGGCCCCTGGCACGGAGCAGCACAACAACGCTAGACATCCATGTCCTCCTCGCACCGAGGCAGGGAGCTGTGAGCAACTCAAACTAGCCCCGACACACAGGTCAGGGGGAGGATGCCCTACCGTGCAGAGCATCCCCCAACCCTCACCACCCTTAATCTGGCTGCCACCACCTCTTCTCTTCCCCTGCATTAAAAACCTTTCTCTCTTCTTCCCTCGGGCAGATTTGCTGTCTCCACCGTGTCTTTGCCCTGTGGCATTGGCAGAGCCATGGCAGACTGAGAAGAGTCTCCCAGCAGTCTCCCAGCCTTTGCCTTTCAGCCATTTCAAACCAAGCAGGCACCTCCCAGAGAGAGACACACGCTGGGTATGCGTGTGCATGCGCACGTGCATACTTGTGTAATTCCTTCTCATCACCCGCAAGCCAGAGCTTGAGATTAAAAATTAACTGATTCTGCAAAGTCTACACGGGCCACTCCCCTTGACACAGCGTTGAAACCAGCTCCAGAGAACAGCCATCTGGCTTTAAGCAACAGAGACACTTACGTTGTGTTGGCAACAGGCTGTTTGATGGGGAAACCTGTTATCCTCAGCTCCCGCTTCTTCTTGCTTTTCACTGGAAGAAAAGATGCGCACATGAGCACCTGGCATTTTTACTTTTCTCCCTTCAAGCATCCTCCTGCCTGCAGCCACCAGGCAGGGGAGGCAGGGCCTGGACCCTCTGCACTGTGCAGCTACGGCAAGATGACAAGAAGGTCACTGCTCTCAGGACCACCTGCCCAAAATTTCAGGCAAGAGCCAGAAGCACAAGCGGGTCTCGAAGGCCCTGCCGAGCGCTTCCCTGCAGAAATACCCAGGGGTGCACTGACAGAGACTCTTTTCTGAGCCTTGCAGCCAAGCACTGCCTTGCAGCGCTCCTCAGACACCCCAAAAGTGCTCTTTACCCTGTGTGGCCATTAACACTCCCCTCTCTTTTGTCTTTTCAGCTCTGATGTGAGCCAGAAGCACAAGCGGGTCTCGAAGGCCCTGCCGAGCGCTTCCCTGCAGAAATACCCAGGGGTGCACTGACAGAGACTCTTTTCTGAGCCTTGCAGCCAAGCACTGCCTTGCAGCGCTCCTCAGACACCCCAAAAGTGCTCTTTACCCTGTGTGGCCATTAACACTCCCCTCTCTTTTGTCTTTTCAGCTCTGATGTTCAGGAGATGGGTTAAAGCCATG